GGCTTTTAGTCAGGTGCGGCTAATGTATGTACAAAACAGGATTTTCCCCTGATTTTAGCTTGTGCGGCTAATATTCGGTGCGCTTTGTAGTCCGGGAAATACCAATCACTGCCAGTCATAATTTAAGTTCAGTATTTGCAGCCGTTGATAGACACTCACTGATATCCAGCAGCACTACATGTAGTTTGTGCGGTTTTTACCTCAGAAAATAAGGGTTGCAGACGGTAGCAGGGCTTTATTTAAAACAATGCATCAAAAGCAGCGTTACTGAATTTTGTTGTACGAATTAAAGCACTCTCTGTATTTGTTTCAATTTAACAGACACCCTTCATTTCTCACCGTGGCTTTTATTGAGAAACATTTGCAAGACTATGTTGTGAAAACCCACATAGTGACAATAGATCAAGGCATTTATTATTTGCTGTGTTGTTGATGGGCAGAATTTTCATGCATTAGTTGTTAAAAGGTACTGTTAGTAATTTTGGGGGTTGTTTAATAGAAAAAAGGGATACTGGGCTCGTAAATATACGTAGATGAGTGTGTAATTATAATTACCATCAAACTGTAGCATTTCCATAAACTTGTAAATAACACATTAAAAATGCATCAGAGTGGGTTTGCCTCACCATATGAATATAGTGGCAGGGAATGACATCTCCCTTCTGAATAATCACATTTAGTAATGTGGCTACAGATTGGTCAAGTAGGTGAAACACTAGCAGAGGTGAAGCCGTAGGTGTTTGCTGTGGAGGGGCATTTAAATTTGTGTGCACCTTCAGACTCAGTTTTACAGCTGGAGATGGAGTCCCCTTCACCAAAGAAATAAAAACCTGAAGCAGTGAGACAATGCCACTGTCATCCTAATAAAATGTCACCTTTTTCTTCCTCACCTCTAGCTTCATCTCCTGAACTGATGTCAGGGCTCTAACACACAGAAACATGCAGAAAAACATGCTGGGTTGCCACAGTCATCATCATTTACAGTCTGAATGTAATGTTTTGATGAATATTTTCTGACTAAAAAAGCTGCCACATCACCCACCATAGCTAGAATTATACACTTGAACTGGGAAAGAGAAGAAAACAGTATTCAGATGATTTCAATCTGCAATCTACTGACATATAGCAAGGTATGGGTATCGTTTAGGTTTTATCCAATACCAGTACCAAACCGGTACTTTTAAAACGGTGCCGGTGCTTAAACGGTGCTCAAACCGGTGCTTAAAGAATGGAGAACACACACTTTGTCCAAAAACCTCTCATGTTCAGCTGTTTTTTTGTA